GTCGCATTAAATCCGTCTTTTACGTCACTGACACCAGACAGACGCCAATTATCAGCGCCGGAGAAGCACCCGATAAGACATAGCGAACGCTTCCTGGCCATCCAGCGTAGATGTCAGTGAAACTGTTGGGAAGACAACATTGGAGAAACGTGAACATTTTATTTATACTGTATAATCTGCAGATTCTGACAGAAATCTGCAACTATCCTTTGAAGTACCGCTCCTCTCTAAAACAGCAATAAGGATAATTATTAGGTTATTTACATTATTATGTAAATAACAAATTAACTTAAAGCAAAAATTGGGAAACGTAAAGTCCGAAGTCTTTATATTAAGGGTCATCAGTCAAACAATACTGTTTGCTCTCGGTCTAAACAGAGCGCGTTGTGTGTGACGTCGTCTTTTGCGCATGCGGGCCGCTTTGAGGGTTCACACTAGAGCGCGTTTGCTGTCGCATTTTATTTGTAGTGTGAACAAGCAGACAAAAAATCGGATTTGATCAAAAAATCGGAATTGAGCATTAAGACCTGCAGTGTGAACGTAGCCTTTGTTACCATCCGACTACACTTCCCCAATCTGGACGACATTCCCATGTCCTTGCTGTAGTTCCTGGTGGTGTTGATCAGTGAATCGATGTCTCATTCCCTCTTGGCATACAGCTTGATATCATCCATGTAGAGGAGGTGGCTGACGATGCTCCATTCCATAGTTGGTATCCATAGCCAGTCTTGAAATTAGTTGTTCGCTGGGAGTTGGATGGGACTCATTTCTTCTGGATGTCCTTGGGGATCAGGACTGTCCAGCCATGAGTTAGCCATTCTGGGTATGTCTCATTAACTAGTAGCTGGTTCATTTGTATTGCCAGATGCTCATGTAGTACAGTCAGCTTTTTTAGCCAATAGGCATGAACCATGTCATGGCCTGGTGCTGTCCAGCTGTTCGTACTGGAGACCCAATCTTGGATGTTTGCCACTGTGATGGTTACTGGTCCCTGTTCAGGGAGGTTGCTGTGGTCTGCTCTTGGATCCTCTAGCCAGTGAGCATTTCCATTATGGGTTGCGTCCTTTTCCCACATGCTCTTCCAGTATTGGTCTGTCTCCAGCCTTGGTGGAACTGTTCTCATATTATTCCCCTGCCAATGAGAGTACACCTTGGATGGTTCTGTGGAGAACAGCTGGTTTATTCTCCTGCCTTCTATTTCTTTGGTATACCTCTTCAAGTGGCTGGGCAAGGCTGTGACTCTTTGCTTGGCAGTTTCCAAGACCCCAGGTATGGACAGCTTGACGTACTTCTTAGGCACCCTCTTTATCGCACCTTTCTGCAGCTCACCTAACCATATTTCAATAATAAGATTGCATCTCTTTTTTTCAGTATCAAAGTATATTACCATTAATTAAAAACAGTCTTGGGAAGGTGACATTTGAAATGTATTCCACTACAGTTTACAGAATACATGCCGCAAAATGTATTTTGTAACGTATTCCGTTACATTACTCAATGAGAGTAACGTATTCTGAATACTGTGGATTACTTAATATATTATCAAGCTTTTTACAACTACTTGAATGTACTATTGCTGTGTGAATTATTACTATTACTAAAGGATACTCACCACATCAATACCAACTAGATTTTTAAATCTTAATATAAAATGAGTGACAGTAGGTGGACATTAGGTAAGGCTGCGCTTTTTGCAGCAATCTCGTATAGAAAACTATGCGTAACAACAACTCAGCGCATATATAAAACAGTTCCACGGCTCCAAACCATAGTAAAGGGACCTCTGGCTAATATGTTGGTTCCGTGTCAGGCCCCTAACCAAAAAGTAGCTTTACTTTGTTTTTTGGGTCAACTTTGCCAGCATGAGACAGAGAGAGGCATTGAAAGGCTGCTCCAATGGAACTTATTGTTTCGGAGGAAAACATGAACACAGTGTACAGTCAAGTCTTAATAGCTTACTTACAACTGGGCTATAATGCCCATGAGGCTACATTCTTTAGGGCTATGCCTGTAACACGCCGCCTATTGCCTTCACGAGGCCACGAGATTGAGACACAGTTTTGTGTCTTGTTTGGGTTTTCACCGGCGTCGAATTACCAAAAATAGAGCAGGGACAGCCTAACATATGAAACAGGAAAAGACCGCCGTGTAATCTCTATTTCAACAAAGTAACTGTATTCTAAATACCACCTTTTTAAACGGTAACTGTAACGGAATACAGTCACTCATATTTTGTATTTTAAATACGTAATGGCGGTACATGTATTCCGTTACTCCCCAACACGGATTTAAAAATAATTTATGTACATGTAGCCTTTTAGTGATTGCTGTTTTTTTTCTTATGAACAAATCTATTGAAGGTATTACTCATGAGATGGCCAGCACTCTAGATATCCTCCCCACATTGGCGCGCTTGGCAGGGGCTGAACTACCACAGGTGATGCTGGATGGGGTCGATATGACGGATATCCTTGTTAAACAAGGAAAGGTAGGAGCATTGTATTTAAAGTTGTGCAAACACTCAAATAATGGAAAAACCAAGCTCATGTGTGTATTTTCTCTGTGTTTTACAGAGTAAAAGGGAAGCCATGATGTTCTACCCTGTAGATCCCAGTGAAAAATATGGCCTCTTTGCTGTAAGGCTGGGAAAATACAAGGCTCACTTCTATACACAAGGTACTACGTGTCATATTTTGAATATTTCAAGTTCACACTGTCAAGTTTTAGTTGGTCTTAATTCCTGCCTCTTCATGTTTGTACATCAGGTGCTTTCCACAGCAGTACTACACCAGACAAAGACTGCCCAGAAACAGCAGTCTTCAAGGCTCATGACCCTCCTCTGATATTTGATCTGGAGGCTGACCCATGTGAGCATTATACTCTGCCAGTAGATACACCTGACATCCAATCTGTGCTGCAACAGGTCAAGACAGTTAAGAAGCAATTTGAATCCTCCATGGTGTTTGGAGAGAGCCAAGTGGCAAAAGGAACAGACCCCAACCTCGAGCCGTGCTGCAACCCTGAGTGTAGCCCCAAACCTAGCTGCTGTCAGTGTTGATGAGAAAAACTTTTGCAGCTTGACAATGGAAGGGAAAGTTGGACTAAAGTGCTGCTCTCCTGTGGAGAGTTGAGTTTTAATTACTGGAAATGGAAAATGAATGTAAAGTAAATGTGCTCCCTTAGTGAGGAGATGATTTTCTCCTCTTTGATTTTGATACTGTTGATACTGTTGAAATTATAACTAATGTTTAACAGTGTACTGTATCATCTTTCTTCTGTACTATGAGTATTGTTTTATTTGATTTCTAATTTCCACTCAAGGAATTCTTGGTAAGCCCTTTTCACTCATAACATCGTGAGTTAACTAAACAATGAAGACAACAATAAAGTTTCAGACATCAATCATATATTTTCAAGACGTATTTTCAAACCCATGAAAAGGCAAATGATTTTTTTGTTTCCATTGAAACTCACAAGTCTTTGTTTTGAAATATACAAGATCAGATATGTTGTTCTGTCACATACTCTTTTTCATTTACTCGCAATAAAAGGTCAGAGCAGTTGTCTTTTACTAAAAGACAATGCAGGCAGCCTGTGTAGTGCATAGACTGTTAGTGCACCCCAGGGTGGCTGTGGCTACAATGTAGCTTGCCATCACCAGTATGTGAAGGTGTGTGTGAATGGGTGGATAACTGAATGTGTAAAGCACTTTGGGGTCCTTAGGGACTAGTAAAAAGCGCTATACAAATACAGGCCATTTACCATTTATCCATAGTGGCTCTCCTGCTTCTTCTCTGTAACTCATGGAGAACAATTAGATGGGTCTGGAAAACACCCTCAAATTTATTATTAGTTGTGGCAAACGTATAGCAGTCATTACTCAATATTTGCTTCTAATGATTTTTGCTGTAGGCTGTAGGTGCTCCATTAGCTCTACCAGACTAATGACTGACTCATTGTTTACCTGAGCTGAGCATGACAGCTTTACTAGATTTTTCTTTTTGTCTTAAATATAACATAAAAGCAGGGGCATCACTGCCTCCTTCCAGGGTTGTTGTTCCCTGCAGAGATCGTTAGAGTGCTCTGTGTTGGAGAAGATTAGATGAAGAGAGCTGCTGCAGCAAGGTACTTTTTCAAAATCTCTCACTGACTGTTGTTTTCTTTGTTTTTCCATCATCCAACAGCTTGTTTTTCCCTTAGGTTAGCACTGTACAGAGATGTGAAAGTGAATGATAAAGCAAAGTATCTAGTTCCCTAAGATGGCAACAATGGTGCAAGACAGCACGCAAGCTAACTGATAGACATATCACACACACCATTGTGTATGAGGACTTCTGAGAATTCATAATGACTTGATCAAACAATGCTTGCCTAACCCTAGACTTTCCTAAACTCCATTGTGTAAAATGTAACAATTTTATGTTACTGGGACTAGCTTTCTAACCTCCATTCCGACTTCCCTCCATCACTATCAAAAACATTACCTTCTTCCTCACACACAGACTCACACGCACAGTTGTCTGTATGCAGAACATACAGCACATATTAAATGCTCCCATACCATTCGTTTCTTCTTTTCACATGATGCCAGCTTGATTACATGCAGGTAGAGTCGCACTTTTGGTTTCCTGTCCACCTCACAGAAACGTGAGAATACATAAAAAATAGCTCCTGGTACTCTCTATCATCATCAGAAAATCAGCTGCCACATTCATTTGGATGGACAGTGGGATACATACTGGACTTTGAGGATAGAAACAAAGTATCGAACAGCGTTAGTATAGCTCTGATACTGATACCAGTGTTGGTATCAATACTATCGATATTTGGATCGATCTACCCACCTCTAAACTACAGGGCTACATGTGACCAGCAGCTTCACATTTTCTCTCTCTATAGCTGGATGGTGCAAAAGGACTAGCAGCTCCTGTGCCTCTCCTCCGCCCTCAGTTTGCCTCATCATCATTTTCTGATATTATAATTTACTTTTGTTTGTGTTTGACAAGGTTTGTGGCCTTGCAAAATGTTTCAAAAACCGCGTCTTGGTTGTTTGTAGAGCTGCAACAGGCCCACACACGACTCCTCTTGTGGTTAACAACTGAGTGAAGAGCAGGCGTGAGCCGTGATGCATTTATACAGCCATATTTCGCACATCACTATGACAGGCTGAAGAAGAAGTAGTTCCTGCCAATCATTTAGACAGTCCCAATAATATAGTTACTTTCCACTGTGTTCCTATTAATCACAAATTACAAATTTACCACAAATTTCTGAAATATTGATATTTTGAAATAAGAATTGAGTCTAGAACACAAATATTTGCTATCGGAAGAATCGATATTCCAGTATCGATCCGCGCATCACTATTTTTAGGGATCTGACGCTTCCTTACTATCAGTCAGAACAGGATGGTATCCGGCCGCGTCGCCTTTTTCGGCATTATTCTTTTGTGCACCTGCTCGGCTTCACCGCCGAATTTCTCATCTTCGCTGACGATTTGGGTTACGGGGACTTGGGCTGTTACGGACATCCCAGTTCACTTACTCCCAACCTGAACCGACTGGCAGCTGAAGGACTCCGATTCACAGATTTTTACAGCACCTGCCCCGTGTGCAGCCCATCCAGGTACCGGTGTAATCAGTACTGACTGTTTGCGTGTGTGAATAAAACAGAAATCAATCCGAGACTTAGCTCAACAGGTTTTTTAAACTTTAAAGTAATGAAAGTGGCCGTAAAGTATGTTCAAAAGCTTCTGTTATTCATTTATTTATTGTTTTTTGTTTTGTTTTTCAAGTCGATTTGATCCTAAATTATTCTTTAAAGTTGTAACTGACAAATTATTAATGGACTCA